CTTTCTTTCTTTCTTTCTCTTCTTTCTTTCTTTCTTTCTTTCTTTCTTTCTTTCTTTCTTTCTTTCTGTTTATTTCTTTCTTTCTCTGTTTCTTTCTCTCTTTCTCTCTTTCCTTCTTTCCTTTCTCCATGAAACTATCCCTGTAACCACTTAGGAACATACTCAACACCCCCTAGATTTCTATTTTTTTTTAAAAGTCCTCTCCAACAAATATATTTGGTGATCGACATTCGTGAGGGAGGGCCTGCCCAAATCAGGTGTGTACGTGTGAGTTCTGAGCACAGTCTAGGAGGCTGTCTATCTAAATGCTGCTCGTGGGTCTCAAAAAACGTGAGTCTCTAAATATGCATTTGGACCTGTGTATATTTTTTGTCTTTGCATTTTCTTCCAGTGTTAGTTGAGATTATAATTGACATCCAGCACTGTATCAGTTTAAGGTGTGCAGCATTGCGATTTGACTTAACCCACAGCATGAAATGAGTACCGTTAGAAGTTTAGCGGTGGATATAAGTGTGTTTGCTGACTGCAGAGGAATTGCTGTTTTTCTTTATTGGGCCAGGGAGCCCAGTTGAGCTGTACATACAGGTCTTTTTAGCCAGCCTGGCATCCAGAAGAGGAGACATTTCCTAGGAGACAACTGGCAGTCACTCTCCCGCCATGAGGTTTCCCCCCCACTTTTTAGTTATTGAGTACCAAAGGCATCTCTTTTCTTTGTCAGGAGTTAAGTCTGAATCAGTGCACTTTCCCAGTTGAATCCAGTCCCCTGCGAACATTCCCTGCATGGATCTATGATGTGTGACTTAAATAAGCAGTCAGGTTGACTGTGATTTGTGGACTCTGTTTTTTTACTTTATTGTCCCACCTGGTCTGGGTGTTGAGATTCCTGACTTCATGGGTAGAAGCCACCTGAGCTCTTACTCACCCTAGTGTGGGGTTAAGGTGAGAGTCTGGAGGCTGACTGCCTGGGTTCACATCCTTTTGACTTGGGGAAATTATTTAACTCAGTTTTCCCCATCTGTAAAATGGAGATAATAAGAAACTTTTTTTGTTATTATCATTGTGGGGATTAAAATGAGATAAAATAAAATGTTATAGAAAGTGTGTCAGGCAGAGCCTGGAACAGAGGAAGCACCAAATTGTTAGTGATTAATCCATTGATTGATCACTTAACTGATTAGTTTATTAACAGGGCAACTCCATCCGAAAACGCAGGTTCTGGAAAACTCTTTGCTTTCCCTAATTGAGAGTCTGAAAGACTGGGATTTTTAAATCAGTTCTTAATGACTGTGGTTGAAACACAACTACCAATATTAGTCTTTGTGGTTTAGCTGTTTCATTCCCTAATCGTGTTGTCGATCCAAGGAGTATTTACCAAACATTATGATGCTCTGGGTTTAAGTGTGCAGAGAAAGAAAAGCAGTCTGTGTGATTAAATTGCCAGGACAATTTGGAAAAACATGAGCCACCAAGTTTTGGTCTAAAGGGCTCAGTGCCTCCAGACTGATGGTTGCATACAGGTACCAGGTGGAGGCAGGTACGTGGCCGAGTTCATTTCTTACGCTGTAGTCGGTACCACAGGGTTCCTTATGACACGGCGTTATTTCCTCAGCCCAGCTGTGATCCCAGGCTGGATTTGGGAGTTATTTCCCCAGATGGTTGACAGCTTGAAAAAGATATTTAAACACTCGAATCTTCCCTAGCGACGTTCACTCTGTGAAACACGTTTTTGTAAGGTTTTCCCTGCAGTTGTCAGCAGCTCCCAGAGCAGTCCCTAGAAATATTTAGGTGTTAAAAAAAGGTCACGTGGGCATTTCATTGCCCCGCTTTTTGCAACAATGGCTTTGTATGCAAGCGTGCCTCTCCCCCGATATTAACTTACTTTGCCGTTAAAATGCATTTGCCTCCTGCTTAAATCATTGTGTATGGAGACCGTATTTATGAGGTACGAGCCTTCTGGTTGGGACCAGGAAATGAACCCCTAATAGAGAGACATAATTAAGATTTTTGGCTCTCGTGAGGGTTTTTTTTTTTTTTCAAAAGCAAGAATTCACAACAATTATTCTCATTAATTTTTACAACCTCTGTCTCACTGGTTGGCGCTGGCATTTATATTTGTTTTTCTCCCCCACCCAAAACCCCTGCCCCGGATATCCGGTTTGGTGCTGATTTTGGAAGGAGTACATTTGTATGACGAATGGAAGGCAGTCTGAGTGGAGCCTTTTGGTAGAAGGCAGACCTCCAGGTGTATCAGTGTGTGCCCCCGTGAGTGACTAGCTGACACGCAGCATATTTGATAGACAGGGTTATGGTCAGTGAGGGGACATGTATGAAATAAGACGGACATTTTCATCTGCACCTAAGCTTGTATGTGAACGTGTTTCAGGGGTGCTTCGTACATCCCATATGCATCTACACTCAAGTCCACAGAGCAAGACATAGTTGAGATCAACATCAATGTGTACGTAGAGCAAATTGTGCCTATCCTATGCAATCATATTTTTGCCATTTAAAAAAATTTTATTTACTATTGTATTATTTAATTACTTTATTTTGGTATAGGGGGAGGTAATTACGTATGTTTATTTTTGGAGGAGGTACTGGGGGTTGAACCCAGGACCTTGTGCATGCTAAGCACGTGCTCTACCACTTGAGCTATCCCCGCCTCCCGATTTCACCATTTAAAAAAAATGGACATATAGTCAGTTTGCGAAGTTGTATCAATTTCTGGTGTACAGCGTAATGTTTCAGTCATACGTATACACACATATATTCCTTTTCATGTTCTTTTTCATTATAGGTTACTACAAGATATTGAATATAGTTCCCTGTGCTCTACAGTGGAAACTTATTGTTTATCTATTTTATATATAGTGGTTAGTATCTTAGGCAATCATATTTCTGGAAGCTATGGCAAGATGAGCAAGGATTAGGGAGTACAACACCTGTCTGAGGTGCAAGGAATGGGTTTGAGCCAAAGATTTTTGCTGATAAAATACCAAAACCCAGCCTTTTCTTTTTTACCTCAGGATAATTTTTTGTCCTAAGCTCTTGGTGGAGCAGTGACATCATGGACTAGGCATTGATTCAGCCCTGATGCCTTTCCCTGATTTGTTCAGTGTTTCAGGGACTGGCTTCAGTCACTGGGTGGGTGGGGTGGGGGTGCAGGGAGTGGGGCAAGAATTCCTTCTGCCTCTTTAAAAAATGATCTAATTTTTACTTAACTTTTTTTTTGAGAATTTCCTTTCCTTAAAAAATGATTTATGGTCAATTGGGTTGCATCCTATTGTCATAAAACCTGAGTGAGAGAGAAAGCCCCTCTAGGTGATGGGCTTTGGGACTTAAAATAGAACTGGGTTGAGGAGTGCACATTGTAAAGACAATTAAAAAAATTTTTTTTGCAGGGGAGGTAATTAGGTTTACTTATTTATTGATTTTTTTTTTTAAGAGGAGGTTCTGGGGATTGAACCCAGGACCTCATGCATGCTAAGCATGCACTCTACCATTTGAGCTATACCCTCCCCCTAAAGATGGTTTTCCAAAGAGATTTTAGATGTTTTTCTACTCATTCTGAAGAGTCAGTTCAAGTCAGAAAGTTGCAGGAATGGGTACAGTTTAAAAAAATGTGGGAGGAGGAAATGTGTATATATATAAATACTCACACATATTTCATAAGTTTTTAAATTTATTTTATATTTTAGAGAAGTTTTAGGTTCATAGCAAAGTTGAGTGGAAAGTACAGAGAATTCCCGTATCCTCCATCCCCTTCAACACACAGCCTCCCCCACCATCAACATCCCCCACCGGCGTGGGACATTTGTTACAGTCGGTGAACCCACATTGACACATCATCACCCAGAGTCTGTCATTTGCATTAGGGTTTGCTCTTGGTGTGGACATTCTGTGGGTTTAGACAGATGTATAATGACATGTATTCACCATTATGTATCATACAGAATCCTTTCACTGCCGTGAAAGTCCTCTGTACGTCCCCTGTTCTTCCACCCCTCCCTCCTGACCCCTGGCAACCACTGATCATCTTTTTGCTGTCTTCGTAGTCTTGTCTTTTCCAAAATGTCAGATGGTTGCAATCATATAACATTTTAAAAATGTTAATCTTACATATATTTTTATGGTGAACACACACACACGTATATAGTTATTTTATGTTCGTGATAGTCTTGGAGTTAGAAGGAAACTTTATAAGGCCATCTCTTCCAGAAAACAGAGCATAGAAGAATGCTTGCCCCTAAATGGACAAATTGTGGCACCTTCGTTAATTACTTCTACTTTATCAAGGCAATTACTCGGTTTCTCTAAGCCTATAACAATACTACCTGGGGTGGCCAGGCGTTGGGGGGGGGTGGTTTTTGTGAGCATTTGAATATCATGGACTCACAGAGAGAAAATTGTCATTGTTTCAATCATCTTTACATTCATCTATCAGAGACAGAGAGTCAGTCCAGTACCAGTTTGTGTTAAATATTTCTTTACATGTGTTGAATTTCCCCTTGCAGGAAAGAGAAGGAAGGCCTTAGGTTTGGAACTCTCTGTGGGAACCACTAGAGAGAATTTGATATATTCATTTTCTTTTCATTAAAGAGCAGGTGATTCCACTTTGACATTTAGAGAAGTGATATGATTTTTTTTCACAAAATTAATTTAAATAAAAAGTGGTTTGATTTAAATAAAAAGTGGTTTGATTTAAATAAAAATATTAAGCAGACCAGTGGAGTCTGGGGTTACATAGATAAAATAATGATGGTGAAGGTGACCTTTGAATGAGTGAACTTTGATGAATGCCGGGCTGGTGTCTATAAAGTGATTTGATATATAAAAATTCAGTTTACACACAGCTTTTAGGGAATACTTCTAGCAAACTCCATGCACTTTTTAACCTAGATCTGCTACTGTACACTCATGCTAACAGAATCTGTGTTGATGGTTGACATGAAAATTCTGGACCTTGAACCAGAGACCCTGGTCTATCACCAAGTTTTCTACATTGCAACAGAAATTTCTAAGAAGAGGGCTCTCTCTTTCTTGCCTGGACACTGAAAGAGGTTTGGACTTGTTCAGTAGCTGTCATAAATGTTATAATTCCGTACGTGGGTGTTTAATTAGACACCATTTTCCACCGGAGCTAGCCAACTGTACCTGTGAAGCTATGAGATGGATGTGAAGTGAGGCATAATAGGATTTTGTATTTTTGGTTTGTTTTTTGTTTTTTATTTTTGTTTTTTATTGAAGTATGGTTGATTTACAATGTTGTGTTAGTTTCAGGTGTACAGCAAAGTGATTCAGTAATATATATATATTCTTTATATATATATTCTTTTTCAGATTCTTTTCCATTATAGGCTATTATAGAGGCATGGGAGGATTTTGAAAGCAATGATCAAGTCATTCCAAATGGGGGCTGTCACACTACGGGAAGTTGACATTGTGTCAACATGTACAATTTTCCAAAGGGAAGAGGGGTGGGGACCAAAGGTTGAGGCTTACATTGTGTCTGAAACACAAAATGCTAAGATTAAAAAAAAAAAAAAAAGCCAACCAGGCCAGAATGATGCAGAGTATGAGTCCAATTAATAGGCAAACTGAAACCAGGTTTTTTTCCCCCTTTTAAAAGCAGTCTGATCAAGGACATTTTTTCAAAGCCTTCCCTCAAATGAAGTGGTGGGTCCACGTTGACGTGACTGGCTTAATTTGCTTCTTTGGATTGCCCAAGGCTGCGTTTCCATGACATTTATTATTAGTCGAGCCTCAGGTAGTCTTGTAGCAATCCCGTGAAAACCAATTCTCTCTTCCCTTCCTTCAGATCACCCAGTTAAAGATTGAGAATAACCCCTTCGCCAAAGGATTCCGGGGCAGCGATGACATGGAGCTGCACAGAATGTCTAGAATGCAGAGGTAAGAAAGATTCCTGGGCTCCGTCCCCCTCTGCATCCTCTCCTGCCTCCCCACATCACCCAGGTGAGCTAGCAGCACCCTCCTGCCTTCCTGACCACAGAGGAGCAGGCACAGAGAAATGGGACCCCGCTCACCACCGAGAAAAAGGAGAAAGAGCCTCTTCAACCTGGCTCTGATAACCCTCACCCGTGGTTTCCTCTCGCAGGCAACCTGGAGGGCGTATCTCCCGGGGGTGAGGAGCGTGTCCGAGGGATTCAGGTGGTCTCCATCTGCCTCGGGAACAAAAGCTACAACTTCTTCCGCTTTCTCTGCTGTCTCTCTCCCTCGAGTGAAGTCCTCTCTCCCTTTCTTCCCATAAGTCACAGCTGATGAATGATTTTCCTTTTGGCAACAGCTCTTGGTCAATGAAAGGGAAGTTAATGGCTTGATTTCCTGGGGGTTATATACAGACAAACTTGGTATCCAAGGCACGGTGGGGAGAGGGGCGGGGATTGGAAGCTGGTGATAAAAATTGCTCAGTATTTTTACATATCCTGTGGTCTCAGTCGCTGATATGATGAATAGAAGGGGTTGGAGTGAATGTACAGAGTGGGAATTGGGTCTGATTCGAAAGGCTTGTACAAGCATCGCCAGTTTCGTTAAACATTCTCTCTACCTCTCCATAGGCTCCCAGAATAACTTACCATATGGCAAGAGAATTAGAAATACATCTTGATCCCTTTGACCAAGAAATTTTTTCCCCTCCCCTTTCGTTGGGTTTAGTGTTTCAAAATAAAATGAGGTCGTTTAGGAAGCTTTCCCTTATCCTTGCTGGAAGACACGAACAGGGAAGGCTGAGTAGACGGACAGACATACTCATTCAAAGGAGGACAAGAGATCTGAGAGAGACAGAGAGAGAGAGAGGGAGAGAAAGTCTGCGGGTTTGTGGTTTTAACGTTGGGTTTAGAAATACATGCCATGGAAATTATTCGTAGATAGCAGGCTTACTAGATCTAATTTTGCATGCTTTTAAAAAATAAATATGCTATTATCTTCAGGTGTGACACGTACCCCACGCTCCTATGAATTCCCACATTCAAAACTGGTTTCTTTCATGATTGTGGATTTGTAAGATGCTTTTATGTGGTGAAACTAAGTTCTTAAATTATCATTTAAAAACATTTTTGGCTTTGAGTGTTTACATTTTGAAAGTGGAGTTGGGTTTAGCCTACAGTTGGTGGAAAAGTGAACCACAAATCTCAGGGAAAGCTGAAAGAGGCCAAACTATTTTCAGCCCTAGGCCTGGAGTGCCAGGTTTTAATTTCAACAGTGTCCAAACCCCCATCGCATTCTGATGAGGGTCATCTGTCATTGCAGGAGCTTAGCTGTTGATGGGCAAAATCTTGACCCGGTCCTCCTGCAGGTTAGGGTCCAGGCTGTGCAGGGAGGGACTGGATGGAAGCTGCCCCATCTCAGCCTAAAACCAAAGGGGTTTATGCATCCGCCCACATCGTCCCTCCTTCCCACAAGTTCAAGAACTTGCGGGATCATGGATTTAAGGTGTTGCAAATTATCCCTTCAGACTTAACTAGTCTCCAGGTTCTGTGAATTCTACCTTCTTAACCTGTCTCGGAATTCGCCTGCTTTCTTCTTGCAGGCTGCCTATTCCAGCCACCAGCATCCTCGCCCCACCACAGCTCCCAGCCCACTTAGATCTTACTTCAGCTCTGTTCCCCTCCCAGACATTCTCTAGGCGGCTGCCAGTCACATCTTTGTAAAACGTAAGTCAGACACGCTTACTCCACAGCCTGGAACTCCCAGGCTTCCAGCTGCCCTCAGGGAAAGGTCCAGAGTCCTTTGCGTGGTTGGCCACGCCCTTCCTAGCCGGCCTGGCCACGCCCCCAGCCTGGTTCCTCACCTGTGTCCCCCTCGCCCTCTCAATCCTGCTGAAGGAGCTGCTCCAAATCTGTCTTCTTACCGTGATTTTCGGCCCTCTGAACAGCAGGTGTAGTCTGCCTCAGTCTCCGTCCCTTCCTCCCCTGTCACGTGGCCATCTCCTGCCATCACTGAGGCCTGCTTGTAGATATTCCTTCCTCCAGGAAGCTCCCCTGGCCCCGGCTTCGCGTCGTCCGGGTTAAGTCTATTCCCAGGAGCCCTCACTGCTTTCCTGCGCCAGGCCAGGGCCCCACACTTGGGAAGCTGTTTGGACAGATGATGGACATCGAAGGAGAGACAGGCAGTCAAGTCCAAGTGTTCAGGGGCTCAAATGTCAGCAGTCCTGGAGGCTCGCTCCTAAAGCCCTGAACAACAGAGCTGGTGAGCTGTTAGGCAGGGGACTCTCCTTTGGTCTGGACTGGCTGCCCTTTCCATCCCCTAGTCAATTCACTGAGGTTGGACGAGGTGTCATTCCTGGGTAGGCACTTGGGGACGGAGGGGAGGAAGGGTGCTTGGTCATCAGTAGGTCCTGTGATTACCATATTGGATCAGAACTCTCAGCCTGAGAGCCACGTGTGTCTTTGTGGCCAAGTTAGGAGTTACACTGGGGACCAAGAGGGCTGAAATGACCACTCACCAGGTGGGGAGAGTGGACAGGATCATCTGTCCGGCTCTCTGGAGAGGGCCCCTGGGGAGGAGAGGCAGTGAAGCAGTGGAAGGCTTTGGAGTCAGACAAATCTCAGTTCCATCCTTGCTCCACATTTATCAGCGTGCGACCCTGGGCCAGTGACTTAAGCTCACGGAGCCTCAGCCTCCTCATCTGTGAAATGGGCACGAAGAAATAGCACCTCCACTTTCTAGGGTTCTTAGAAGAGTTTCATGAGAAAATGCCTGTAGAGTGCCTGTAGCCCATGCTCAAAAAAATGATCTGATTTGGGGAAACATTCCTCATGACTCCCAGTTCTGTCCTTGTTCAGAGTTTCTTCTTCTGGGCTGTGGTCCCTGCTCCCAGGTCGCAGTAGGTAGTGACAAGTGGGGAAGATGGTTCTCCGGAGACGGCCCTGATAACAGCCCGGCTGGAACGGCAGGCTCCCTGTTAATCTTGTCATCCTGTTTCCTGTCCCCCACACACCCGGTGACAGCTGGCTCAGGGAGCCAAGCAGGAGGAATGAAATTTCCTCTAATGCCGACAGTCGCACGGAGGGCGAGGGGTGGGCTGATGCAGGGCTGAGCACTGACGCGCAGTGATTCCACATAAATAACTTTTGGATTAGCTTGGCAAATGCCTGGGCACTCACCCCACTCTCTCTCTTCTCCAAGTAATCCGTGTTTGGAAAAGGCAGATGGTGTCTCCGTTATTTTCCAACATTTATTTATGGTTTCTGGTTACAGAAGGAATAACTGCTTACCATGAACCCGAGGAAGTGATGGCAAAGCACAGAGAAGGAAATAAAACCATTTGCAATGCCGGCCTCTAGCCGACTGATTAAAATATGTGCCCAGGTTATTTCAAAAGGTTAATCTGTGGCTTAAAAACGTCTTATCCTCAAAACCAATATTTCCCGAATTGCGGTACCCTGACCCTGGTGACAGAGGAGATAACTTTGGAGGGCGTGCAGACACGCAGGCCCATCAGATCGATTTCATAGGCTTCAAATGAGATGAAGTTCTAAGGAAGGAAGGAAAAAAGGAAAGGCGATGAGGAAGGAGGGAGGAAGAAATGTTCAGGCTGATTATTTACGAGAAATGATTGAGAAGCAGGAGAGATGGTAGAAAGATCTGGCGAACAATGTCAAGGTGATACATAAATGACAGAAGTCTGGGAATACACCTGAATTCTCATTCTAACGAGAAAGCGTGGGAGCTTCCCTGCTGTTGGAAATGCTCTCGGCCCTGGTTTTTCACAGAACGTTGCTTCCTTTGAACTTTGCTTCCATCTTGAAGATGTGTTCAGACCAGTTCTGAACTTCTTAGGAGTCAAAGGGGCTGGTGGGGCCAAGGCCAGGGCCAGGGCCACCAGGGAGTGGGGAGGGCACCTTTCTGGAGAGAATGGGAGCCAGGCCTTGCAGGATGAATATGATTTGACTCTGTTGGGAAGAAGGGTTTTCTAGGTTGGATCGGAGAAGTGGACAGGGATCTACAAGTCTTGGGCTCTAGAGGAGGGGTGAGATTCTGAAGATCTCTGAAAGCCAGCTGGCATGGCTCACTGACAGGTGACACTGTCAGAAGGGCTGTCCCTGGAAGCATGGGGGTCTGGAGGGAGGAGCGGTCACAGGAGGCAGCATCTGGTCCAAGCTTCCCTCTTTTGCAGAAGGGGAAACTGAACCCCGGAGAGTCATTTATTTATTCAGTTTTTGATCTGCTGCTTTTTTATGAAGTGCCCTCTCTATGCAAGGACTGGGGATACAAAAGTGAATCAACCCACTGAGGGAGGGGCAGGGCCCACAGATGGCTCTGGAGTGGGGGTCCGGGCTGCTGCACTGAGTAGCTCCAGGGCTCCCCTTGTCCTCTGAGCTTCCAGCGCCTCGTCAGTAAAATGGGAGATAATTATAGAACCTACCTCCGGGGTCGTGGCACGGATGAAATGAGGTAATGCGTGTGTCCTAATTACTATTGCCATGAAACAGATTACTCCTAAATTTCACGTGGACTGGCTGAGGAGCCCCGGGCTCAGAGCTATGCCATCAGCTGTGTGTGCGTGAGACTAAATCCAGGGCAGCCAGAGCTCTGGCGCCGAGCTTCCGATGGAGCTGCAGCCCGCTAAAGGGGCGGGAAGTACCAGGCACCCTCAGTCATTCCATGATGAGCTCCTAGTGCTCCCAGTTTCATCCAGTTGCAACCTGCTAGCCCTCAGGAATGCTCCATAAATCCTATTCCTCTGGAAAGATCAGGCATCCCCCGTTATCACTGTGTGGGGGGCAAAGCGGGAGTCCCGGGGAAGCACTTTGGACTAGTTCATGATGTTGGGAAGTAAGTCCACAGGTTGGGAATTTGGGAAGGATGCATCTGGGCAGTTGCTGCTGGCAGTCAGGTGTTGGTGGGGGCGGCGGGTATCTGAAGGCCTGACGGGCTGGACGTCCAGGCTG